CTCAGAGGCTGTGTCAGCACTGGAAGAGAGCTGCCTCCTGCTGTGTCGGCACAAGTCCTCTCCCTCTGCACCAGCAACTTGGGGCTGGCAAGCTTTGAGGAGTGGCATCAGGCTCTTCTGCAAGTTTTTGTGCGGGCCTCCACGTGCTCTACTGATACACGGAAGCGTCGCTCAGCATGAGGCAGTGCGGCTCGTGTGAGCTGGCCCCTGGACTTCAGCAAGCGTACCACAGAAGCCAGAGGGATCCCTGACATTATCACGTTACACACGTGCACAGGCTTTGCAGGATCAGAAATTGAGATTATTGACTTTTAGAGGTAAAGAAAGGGTTATAATGGACAAGACTATTTGTGGCCATATAAAAAAAAAACCACACTACTGCTTTTGTCACTCAGCTGCGTAGCTCCCAAGGCTCCTGTCTTGCTTCCTTGCTCCTGTCTTGGCCAATCTATAAAAATTCAACGATTCCTGAGAAACACTGGAATCTTCATGGAGGAAGCATAAAAGAAGACCAGGTCTGGCTACAGACTTACTATGTAACATCAGCTAAGGCATATCACTGTACCCTTATCTCCTTTAATAAATAGGAAAATTAGACGCCCACCTCCCTACCTCACCCCACAAGTGTGCGCTCTCAGAGCTGTACAAACATGTACGTAATTACTTCTCAGTGCTTGCCACATATGTGCACCATACCCAGTCATCCAGAACTTTCCTTCTAAAAGTCATTATTTTTAAAACAAAACAAATGGTTTGCCCTTAACTTCACTTTTTTCCTAGTGTGTTAAAAAAAATTATTTCGTAATTGCTATTACAAGAGAGACTTGCATTTAGATTTTCCACATTTTTAAAACAAAACAAATGGTTTGCCCTTAACTTCACTTTTTTCCTAGTGTGTTAAAAAAAATTATTTCGTAATTGCTATTACAGAAGAGACTTGCATTAGATTTTCCACCACCCAGCACCCACACAGTTAAACCTTATTCACCTCAGATACAAGAACACGTGTGCTGACTTTGAATATATGCCTTACAATTTCTGACTCAATTAGCATACAGCAGCTAATCATTCCCTTTGTAATGTATTAACGGCTGTTTGCCTTTCTGCATTGTTGGCTTTTTCCCTTTATTCCCACTGGTTGTTAAGTGGTGATGATGAATCAATCTATCACCTACAGCCATGCCTTCTTGCTTTAAAAAGCTCAAGAGAGAGCAAATGAATTAGAAAAATGAAAGCCTTTTTTGCATGATACCCAACCCTTGGATCCTAATCCAAACCGGTTGTAATTTAAAAAGCAGAATATACACCACAGGTATCTTGGCTGACTGCATCAGGGGTGAAGCTTAATGGCGTCTTGCTCAGAGCCAACGTTAGGACATTGCCAACCATTTCCTTTATTTTAACAAGTCCCCAGCACACACAGCATACCTAACACCCAGTTTCCCTTATGATGCCCACCCGTTTTCCAAGAAAAACAATCTAAACCCTTCTGGTCATCAAGGGGACTCCAAAAAATGAAAACTGACTCCCTTTTTCCCTCTCACCAGCTGATTACGCTGACTGCTCAAAGCCATCCGACTGAAACCATCCCACATTTGATAGCAGCGGATGGCCACCAGTCTTTTTTGCCCAAACAACCCCTAAATTATACCAACAGGAACATTAAAATTATTAATAAACTGTCCTTCTCCCCGACAGAGAGGGGAAAGGACTGTGACCATCTGTCTCTGGGCTACAAATGAGTTGTGCCGTGCCTGGTCAGCCAGCCTGCTCCATCTCACCTGCAGCACACTCGGCCCACAAACCTCATTCATCTCCAGCAGAGAAATCCCAGTCAGCTATTCTTCTCCACCAAACATTTCTATAGCTGAAAGCTCTGGGTGTTTTGTGGTGCCAAATGCTTCGGAGCACGGGAGTCTCTGTGGCCACCCACATAATATTCAAATGCACAAACGAGCCAAGAAGCTTTGCATAAACAACTTGGTACAATGTGCGGAGATGCTGCTGTATTTCTGCATGACAAGTTCATTACCATTTGGCCTCGGCTTACACTGATGTACAGTGAAAAAGAAAAGGGAGAGAGACAGACTCTTCACAGTTACATTAATTTATTTTATTTAATAAAAAACAGTATCAGATTAAAAATACAAACACTTTGGGTGATTATCCAGCGTTTTCCCCTGTGTGCCTCATAGAGCTCAAACCAACCAAGGATTGGGAGAAAAAACAAAAAAAAAACCCAAAAAATAACACCAAACAATTTTGGCCGGAGCTGTAAAATAATGTTGCACCAATTAAATTACACCAAATATATTATTATACCTTTGAAATGGCTTTCAGACCAATAAATAAAAAAAAAGACAAATTCAAATAAAAAAGTCAACTTTGTATTACAAAAAAATTAAATAAAAATCACAACACTAATAATAACAATGTGCAGTCAAGTTTTTTTTTCTTCTCTTCTAGGAATGATAACATGCCAGTAAACATGTAACATGCCAGTAACATGCCAGTAAATCCCTACGTAACATTTCCAGTTTGGCAGCAAGCAGTCACTCACTCATTCACATTTGCACACAAGGAAGCAGGCCTGGGCAAAAGCCTCGGGAGATACGAGCCTTCAGGGTGCTCCTCACTGCCCTGCCACCGCTGGCTGAGTTCCCTTCCCTTCGGCCTGAAACCTCTACAAATCCGTTCAAGGTTTAGCACCAGATCTGCAGGGAAAGTGTCAATCAGCGTAACCCCACCGACACGATGCTCCGTCATGTCAATGGGACAGTGCTGATTTACACCAGCTGAGGATCTGGCTCTTCTGCTCCGGAGCACAAGTTAAAAGCCGTGGCTGCAAAGCACATCCTCGTTTCAGAAAGGCCGTGGAGATTACGTCGAGTTGTTTTAAAATGCACCACAGCAAACTTTTTAACTAACTACACTGCAAAATGGGGTGTTGATTTCAGATGGGCTAAAAGAGCACATGCAGGGCCTGTGAGAAGATGGGACACCTGAATATCATAAAGAGGTACACATCTGTAGAGAAATGACCTGCAGTTGCCCTTCCTGAGCAAATGGACAGTAAGCCAAATTTCACTTGACCACCTGAGAGCACATCTCTCGGAGATTTCATGGTATTGATGCCGTTTACTCCAGGGCCAAATTTGGTCCAGTGTTTCACAATAAGTAAAGGTTTTCCACAGAGGCAGATTAACTGATTTAGGAAATTCAAGTTCCTTCACCTTTATGCTAGGCAGCCCAGTTGATATTTAGGAGGAACCGGCAGACTTAAGTACCATGATACACAGAATAAGGAATCTGCAAGTGAAATAGCTCCCTGCCCCAGACGCCAATGATTTATGGTGTTATCCTTGATTCCCAAAGAATCCCCAGAGGAACTCTATTCTGTTCCCACATGATCTCTAGGATTTTGGACACAGTGGGCCAAATTCTGCTTTCAGTTCCAGTTACAGGGTTGGAGTGAGAACAGAGGTTGCCCCATGCCCCCAACAGAGGTTGCGTGCAGACACAAGTTTTGCAGCTGTGGATCATTTGACATCATAAGCTGAAACCTGCCACTTACTCGCACCAGTGCACCTCCAAGAAAGCCAGGGGCTATGTGCTCATGGAAATGAGACTCAAATGGGCCTTAAGATTCCAGTTTGCCCAGGCCTGTCAAACACACAGTGCCTTTCTGACATAGACTTACATTCAGGTAATCCAGTAGACCCATGTGGTACCTTTATGGGAGTTGAAGCCTTCAGTCTGGATATTTAGATATGTCTTAGAACACAAACACATATCCTCGTTTTTTTCAAACTGGTATCATTGCACACGCAGTACCAGCTACACTATATATAGAGAGGCCCGCATTTTTATGCTAACTCTGTTAACAAATCTACCATTATCATTTCATCGCTCAGTTCTTTCTGCTCCATTACTACCTACCTAGAAACATTTTCATTTGGAGAAAGGCATCTTCTCGCTAACTTTCTGACCTCTATCCATTTCCTACATGCTACAACCTTTTCCTTACCTAACATTCTGGTCGCAAACTACCGGTCACCCTCAAATACTACAAGCTAACAGCAAGGTGGCACCATTTGCTGACAGTGACTGAACTCTAGATTGGAGGGTCAGTTAACCCTGGAGACCCTTTGTTAGATCCATCTTTGCCTGGGCATTCATCTGGCTGGACGTTTTGAAACAGTCACAAATTGAACGTACGGGCCAAAATGCCTTAAAAGGTCATTTAGCTGCTGATAACATCCATTCCTTCCAGTTCCCATTATCATTTCTGTGATTTTTTTTGCTGGTAGGAGTGGTAGTTGGAAACCATTTTAGGGCCTCCTGCTCACCGGAGAGCAATGGCTGCGGGAGGGGCCAGATCTGAATGCCTGCTCCACTGCTTGTCCACATACACCTCGTGAGGTTATTCTGGGGTGAGTCTCTCAAATTACATCCCAGAATGCGTTCAGAACCCCTCAGGTCACCCTGGTGGAAGGGACCATGGTGACCACCTAGCCTGGCATAATGCCAGGTAAAGATTTTGAATGTGCAATGACTGTATTGAGATGAAAAACTTCAGGGGGAAGTTTCTAAAGGACATCCAAATTTGACTTGAAGAATTCAGCTCATCTCATGGTAAAGCTAATCAAATATTAATGACAAACCTCTCAAAAGGTGTGTCCCTCACTTCCAGTTTTAATTCTGTCTAGCTTTGACTTCAAGCCATCAAATCTTGATGCTTTTGTCTGCTAGATCCTGATGTGCTTTCATCACATATACAAAGACCAAAGGTTTTTCTCTGGTCAGGTAGGTAATACTTTGAGGACACAAAATTAGAGAAGTGTGAGATGGCTTTGGGGCTACTTCACTAGGAGTTCAGCTAAGTACAGTCAGGTCCTTTGAAGCAAAACCTACCATGGTCAGCAAATCAGTGACCTGGCTTACTCCATCATAAAGGTACACAGAAAAACTCCCTTCCCTCCCTTTCCATCTTCCCTCTGCTAGTTGAGCTTGTTGCAGATCTCTAGGGCTTTCTTGTAGACCTGAGTCACATCATCCATGTCTGTGAGAAGGGAAAAACTGCTGTCCCCCAGACGGTTGCGATAACGTTTTAGATACTGTGGCCGTGGGCGGTTCTGAAGTCCTTCGAAGTCTTGGATCTGGAGGAAATTTTCAGCAGAGACACAGCTCCGTATCCTCTGCCTGTTTGGCCTGTTCTCTTGCAAATCCAGCAAATCAAAGGAGTCACTGGACAAAATACTGTCATCACTAATCACGCTGGAAGGGCGACTGTAACTTCGAGGTAATGCATCCCCAGGCAGGACCACTTCTTCCATGGCCTCCAGCGTTGGTGTGTCAGGGCTAATCAAAGCAGATTCAGTGCTGCTGGTAGAATACTTGCTGTTATGTTTCAAGATGCCCTTACGCCTGCAGGAATGGCTGTAAGACCCATTTCTGGATGGCTCTGTGACCCCCGGAGAAGTGTCACTGTTTACCGTCTCATCATTATTGTCCAAGAGTTCAGAAGATTCACTTCGTTCTGGAGAGGAGTAATACCCAGACTCCCTCTGCTGAGTCTTCTTTAAGATTCCTTTTTTTGGCATTAGTGAAGACTGCTTAGTGCCATATTTTCCTGCTACCTCTCCCTCCACAACACTTTTAATGGCTACGCCAGTCCTACACAACTCTTGCTCCAGCTTAAAAGCAGAGGGTAACACTGGGCTGACCACTCCTTCAATGAAACCTGCACTGTGAGATCGATGTTCACTGTTGCTCCTTTTCTTCAGGATGCCTTTGGGTCTCTTGGAGGTGGGTTTGGAAGCATTTTCAGCTCCTCCTTCCTGGATGGACTGTGCAATGTCATTTTCCTTTTTTGATTTTTTCAGAGACCTTTGTCTCTCTAGTGTGACTTCAGGACCTTTGGGCTTAGAAAGGCACTTCATTTTGGTTTCAGTCTCTGGTTGGAGGCCAGTAGAACGGTGATGCCAATCAATGAACCTTGCCAGTAATGGGGACTCAGAGTCCCTCATGGCATCACAGTCACAAACGCTACTCTTGTAGCCCCAGTTAACCCACCAGTGGTTGGCGATGTCTTCAATGGTTGCTCGGCGTTCAGGGTTCACCATCAGCATCCATCTGATAAGACCGCGAGCATCTATGGACAAAGAATGGAATATAAAATATTTAGAATATGGGCGCTCTTAGTTCTGTCAGTTTAAAATGCATTAAGTGTGAAGCCAATCAAATGAGCAAAAATAATGCTTCTTACAACAGGAGAAGTGAAAAGAGGCAAGGCTTTGACCATCAGTCAATGTTGGAAAATGCCTTTGAGTACTACTTCTCACCAGAAGAATATGATTCACTCTGGGAAATGTACACTGGGTTATCAAAGAAATTAATATTTGTACTGTATTAGTCAGTGAATAGTTCCATATTACTGAAGGAATTCACCAACCTTCAACTCTAATAATTACAAAACTTAGAGGAAAACAGAGGGGAATTGGGATATTTTAAATGATCTACGCATTATTGCTTTTGTATTTACTTTTTCCATAAACAGTGTAGTCTTCTGTATATTTTAAAGTTATATTTTCGTAAAGAGAGCAAGAAGGCAGAAAATTGAAAGGGATCGCAAACAAACGATACAAGATAAATAGTAATTTAAATACATTATATACACAGATGTTTAAGGCTGGAAGGAGTCATTATAATCAATGACCCAGACTTAGCTGATGCTTTTCTGTCAGGTGACTGCCTAATGTTATCCTCTAAGTAGAAGTAAATGCGAACATAGTGGCATTAATTCAGATTTTGGCCCGCCTTCTTGGATAAGAAGCTGCGTCGCTCTGACCGTTCATCTTCTCTCTGCTTGTGATATACCACAGTTGTAGTTAGAGGACTGATCTGTACCAGTATGTTGTATTGGTTTACAGCTTGTCTGAACAATTCCACTTGCAATAGCTAACAGACCTTCCACTGTCATAGATCTAGGTAAAAGCCTGTTACAGCTTCCCCAAGGCAATAAAATCTGTCTGCTATAGAACTTTAATTTCAAAAGGGCTTTTGGTAAATGCTGTACCCGGATGGGAATTGATAGCAGATGAAGTCAGTAGGGGAATATGACACCAAAACATGTTGGAAGGGGCCGGGCAAACCCTCCATTCTGAAATCCTGTCAGCTTAATACATTGCCCTCTCTCCTTTTTTATACCTGAGGTCTGTGTTGGCTCACGATATTCTCCACTGCTGATCTGCCTGATGAGATTTTTGTGATCGAAACCATCAAAGGGCATCGTTCCATAAACCAGAGTGTAAAGCAATACACCAAGGGCCCAGCTGTCAACCTGAAATAGAGAGACAATGCGTGTGAAGCCCAGGAAAGCTGATCCCCACCCTTCTCCCTGCCATTAGCACTGCAAGAGCAGCATCACATCCAGCTGTGCCTACTGATGGGCAAACCAGTATCTAACATCTGACTAACCACAGGCAAAGCAAACGAAAGCAAACAAAGGCAGCTTGAGAACTTTCAGTATGGGAGAGACCCAAGCGAACCTACGTGTGCAGTAACACTAGCATTAAAACTAACCCTCAAGCACATTATCATCAAAGACATCCCCATACCACCACGGAAAAGCTGACGCTTCTTACCTCTGGGCCTCTGTAAGGTCGTCCATTAACTATTTCAGGGGAAGCATACAGTGGGCTTCCACAAAAGGTCTGCAGAAACTTGTCTTTATGATAAAGGTTGGAGAGTCCAAAATCAGCAATCTGCAAATAGATTTGCACAAGGCACCTGTAGTATTAACAATATCTTAATGCAACAGAAAATCCTTTCTCAGGAAAGATTTAGCTATATTTGACCCTGCTGTAGGGCAGGGATCTCAACGCGGATAATCTCTCAAGTTCCCTGGCCAACCCATTATTCTATGATTTTTGACTCTTCTCTCTAAAGATCCTCCAGAGAAGGAGAAGGGTCTCCAGGCTAAATCCTCCAGATTAGGAACAAGGATGCTTCGGTTCCATTCACAGACAGGTCACTGACTGACTGCATGACCCTCAGTCAGTAATTTTATCCTGGATGAATTGCATATGCTTGCAAAGACAATCTCATACTGGGAGGCACTGGGCCTGCTGTCCATTGATTGCTCTTCATCTTGTATAATCATTAATACCAAAGGAAAGCAAGCAGAAAGTACTACCGTTCTTATCATGCACATGCAAGCTGAAAGCCAAGACTTTTAAAGCCAACAGGAGGAGTGAGGCAGGAGTGTCACAGGAAACTAAGCGTTACAGAAGAAAGCGATTTTTGAAATCATCTGGAACTTAGCTATGCTTGAAGGAGGGGGAAAGCGAGGCACTCGCTAACTCTTCCAGATTCAGGGACTCCGGCTGAGGAATCTGAGCTGTTAAGCACACGAGGTGTCTATCATGAGATAATAAACACAAGTCTGGTTCCTAACTGGAAACAATGGGCCCAAATCCGGCTTTTCCAACACAAACAAAACTTCCCTTGAGACTGTTGGGAATTTTGCCCATGTAGGAATTGCAGGATCAGGTCCAAATATTTTGTTTACTTCAATTCTCTGTTCTTGTTCTTACAGAACAAAGGCTGAGGATAGCAACACTAAATGCTCCCACAACCTTTGCATTTCCTTTGTTTCTCTAGCACAAGGCAACACATCTCATTTTTTATCTTGTTTAAGACCCAAACACTTCTGTTTCCCAGAGATACTTTTATTACTGCCCACTATCGACATAAGGCATACATAAAAGACATAAAGCACACGCATAAGAAAGGTATTATAGCTATAAGAGACGAGAGTTTTCCCTGGGTTTTCTTCACCTTGTTTGTGTCTTTTCTACCAGAAAGAAGCTAAATCCAGGAATTTTCACAGGAGAAAATTCAAGAAAACACAAAGCGAACAGAAAAGAAAAGGATTTACCAGCAGCATCATTCACTCCTAGCTTTCTAATATGTGTACCAGCAGTGCCTCTAACACCTGTTTAATTGCAATGTCAAGTGAACTCTTGGGAGAGAAAGCCTTTGTCTCTACTATCTGAACTCCTACAACTACACCTAAAAATGTCACAGTTGAGACCAAAATGAGCAAAGTTGGTGAAGTATGGACAGAAGTTCCCAATTTTCTTTCTTTAGCCCAAAATAGAAATATGTATATATACACTTTATCTATAAATAGATATATAGATATCGATACACAGATATAGATACTTTTATGATAGAAATATAAACTTTTTAAAAAAAATACCATTTTCACAAAATTTTTAAAGTCACAGAGCAAATATGAGATTTCACACTTCACCCTCTCCTATTTTGATGTTCTGCTTGTGCAGGTGTTCGACCGACAATTTGGACTCATAATATACTGCTCAAAGAGCACCTGATTCCTGTTCTTTAATGTTAATGCATCTCACCATGTCCATTCATAGTTTGCATTCACTCAGTCCCCCAAACAGCATATTATCAACCCACAGCAGAAAATTCAGTTCTTAAATAAATGTGGTTTGTAAAATCTTCATTGTATGGCTGGAATGTCATTGAAAACAGCTGGTGTACAATTGCAGTCTGCAAACATATTCTCATGGCTCAGATTGCACTTAATTGCCCTAAATTCCACTTTCTTATCGAGTCACCCTGCCTGGCTTGCAGGAAGTTGGTTTTAAGCCTTATGAAGTGTACCCTGTCAATCAGGGTACGAATGGGATCATTTCAGTGTTAAAACTTCGTGCTGGTCATTGAGTTTTATTTTAGTTCAGGATGCAGCTAAGACAAGGACAAACACTGCACAGTGTGATTCCTTAAGAAAATACATTCCCTTAACACCATGGAATGTATAAAATGCATGTGGATGTGCATGAATATATATATAGGGATACACATACCATTGTTCACACTAAGAAACTCTCAGACTTGGGCATTCATGTTTTCATTTTGACCATTCAGGAAAAGAGTATTTATGTTACAGTCCACTCCCATACTCACAGACTGATGTTTATCAGCTTTTCCCATTAAAACTGTCATGCCCCCCCAAAACAAGATTAATAGAAGCCAACATTACTTCATGTTCTTGGCACTTAAATGGAACTAAGACATCAAGTCAAAAAAACTTCCTAAATTGGGAGGAGCGGGGAAGTGGACTTTTATTCCCCTCACTTCAGGAGGTATATGTTTCATATTTACTGTTAGCTATGATAAACCAGATGTAATTTATTGTTTAAGTGTGAACTATAAATTCCATGAAGTTCGCACTCATGGAAAGTGTCAGTTTTATCCCACTTAAAAATCTATCTCTTTGTACTGTAGACAGAGAAATAATTAGGTCTCTTAAAGCAAATGAAACATATGTGCAGTGGGTGAGACTTCCAGCAAGGTAAATCCCAATTACATACACTTACTCTGTATATATGAAACCCTCATGGGTTTTTAGTGGTTAGTCTGATTGGTGTCCCCTTACTGGCCCAAGAGAAAGCGCAGTTAGTAGGATTATGTTACTATTATACTTGCATTTTCTCTCCTTCTATCATTTTGTGGTTGATCATACAGTTTACGTCAGCCTCTGCTAGACATCTCTTTTAGGTGCCATTCCCAGCCCAGGAGCCGCCACAGCCCTACCGTGAAGAAGGAGGCCCCTCCATCGTGCCAGGCTGCATGGGAGAGGTGTCCCTGGGGGTAGGTTTTGGCACAGGGCGGGGACATGGTATTTGGATAGACCACCAGAAAGCACTAATTCTCTGGCCGCTGCACTGGGCAGCAGTTTCTCTCCACCTCCCTGTACACAGTTTTGGGGATTCAGGCACTGGGGAGAGCTGTGGTCCTCATCAGGCCAAACTGCAGGAGCTATGGGAGAATGGAAGCAGCGACACCCTCACCCTGCTGCTAGTTCTTCTAGTAAATTCATACCTACAATGAACCAAAATCTAGCATCCTCAGTGCTTTTAAAATTAACGAAGACAAGGCGGCACCACCAGAAGGCTTTTTTCTAGACCACCGAAGGCAGATGCCTAAAGCCATCACGAATCTCTTCCCACAAAGAGCTTTCCAACTCAGCAGCTCAGGGCAGCTCTTTCGGTGCTTTGGGGTTGCCTTAGCCCTGCTGCCTCTGTCTGACCCTACCCACCTCCGGCTGTGTTAGGATTATGAACGAAGATACCCTCTCGATGGGATGAAAATGCCAGCGAGAGGCTGCTCCGCTGCTGTGCGGCAGGGGCAGCAGCTGTACCCACCCCCAGGAACCCGGGGCGAGCAGAGGGGGCAGCTCCGAGTTACCCAGAGCTGGAGGGTGGAAGGCAGCGAGTGCTGGCAGCTGGAAGGAGAACGGAGTAAATTTTAAGGTAAACTGTGCTGTTAGCAGCTGGCACATGAATGTGAGTAAGGAGAGGCTTGTACACGCTGCAGAAACCCTAATTTAATCACTGCATTATTTCCTTAAAGAATATGGCACCATGAACAAGGTAAGAAAGCAAATAACATTTTTCTACCCTGGGAGGCTGCAGTGCCTTGGTGAGGTTTAGCTCTAGGATTGTGCCCCACTGTTGACCTCTGCAGACAGACTAGCTCCCAGGAGAAACATTCACACTCGGGGTTTCTGCTGGATAGTTGGGTGCGTATCTGGGGAGCAAGGCAAGGTACTGTTTGATTAATTGGCTGGATGAACTCCTTGTACCCCACAGATCCGCGCGCATGTTCAGTCTCACGAGAGTTTAAAACTCATTTTATTCACTTGTGTTTACTGTATTTAGGGGTTTTAAGTAATAGTTTGCAGGAAATATTACTGCATACACCAAGTCCCTGAAAAACATAATTATATACCACAGATCAGATCACTTTCTTCCCCTCATCACCCTCCACCTCTGGCCTGTGGACCTGCAGAACTCTTCAAAACACATAATTTTTTGTCAGCTTTCAGACACTGGTGTTTCCTAGTTGCTGTACTCCAACACATGACTCCATTTCCAGAGACTTTTACCCACTATCGTAACTCTTAAAAAAAGCTGATTATGTCTCCATCCACTGCTTCACGACCTAAAATTCGCTAAAATTTCAGAATGGTTTCTGAGTTAGTGTAGTATCGTGTAAAATGGCTTGGGCCCCTTTTAGGTCAGATAATAATTTCTAATGGATTACTTGTCCTCTTCATTTCCTGTTCTAAAAGTCTCGCTTAACTTGCTACACGTGGCTCTATTTTTACAATATCTTATTTTTTCCTCACATTACTATGACATGTTTGTGTATATCATAATGTATAGATCACTGGCTTCTTCAGAAACACGTATTTAGTTGCACATTGCACCCAAGAACAAAGAGATTCCTTTCATTTTCTCATTCTTAAAATCAAACTGCCAATTTTGTAAGTGCTTTGTAATCCACTGAATGACATATAAATACTGGGAAAGTACAGATAAGACTACCACTCCATTTCTAGAAAATATCTTCCACTCGGTATTTGAAGCCATCAATCAATACCAAACCCCAAACTGAATATTTCTCTTTTTCCGTCTGAATAAACCATATACTAATACTCTCAGAATGAGGACCTGATAAATTTACTCCTAATAAATAATTTACAGCTCCATATGTGTTTCCTTGCCAACGGTTACTGTTTACTGAAACAGAAAAAAAAGAAGGGAAGACAAAAAAGAAAAAGTGGGAAGTAAAATTCTGTGCGTAACATAGAAACCACAGTAACATATTCAAAGCTTCAGCATCAGGGATATAGTGGCAGTGTGCTTAACATCAAGTATTCAAAGCTGATCTTAGTCACGAGGTGTAAAAAAAGAGAGCAGGGAGAAAAAGGAAATACAAAAAGTCATCTCTTGAAGTAAATCAAATTCAACCACTATTGATAGTAAGATGTATGCAATTCCTTGGTCTATTTTTTAGCTTCATTTTCACCCTTTGCAGAAATAGTTCCCAGGGGACAAGAAGGGAGCTTGCAGCCACCCACCCATGCCGAGGCAGCCTTGCCCGTTCAGAGGCGTGCCTTATGCTTTGCAGAGAAGTAACTGAGGAAAGGCTTGAAATATGCAAAATATCTACACGGCAGCTTAAACACAGCGTAGTTCAGGAAAGGGAAGCCTTCAAGAAAAAGATGACAAAATGATTGGAAGGGATGTGGGGAGTAGCAGCTACCCGACTTTCCTCCACAGCAGTGCCACTCGCTATGGCAGCTGAAATGCACCTGTGGTTCTGAAGCCCCTGGGTCACCTCCATGCTCTGGAGGCGAACACAACATGACCCGTCCCTGCCCCATCCTCCCGCTCTCCCCGCAGGACGGTTAGACTCCCATAAAGAAGAGAGGGGAGGGAGCGGAGCCTTCTGACAAAGCACAGCTCCCCGGAGGCTTGGGGAACTGATTGGTTTTGCATATGAGGACCACAGCGCGGAGATCCAGGCCACCGCAGCTAGCAAATTCCCCAAATTCCTCTTTTCTCTCAAGAATTCTCTGATTAGCTGGGAAGATAGTTTGTCGTGCAATGCGGAAAGAAAGGTCACCCTGCCTGCGGAAGCCTGTTTCGTATACAATGTCCTAGAAAGGCTACTTTTTGTTTTCAGTGCTGCTGAGAACAGCTCGGGCTGCTGGGGCCAGTCTCCCTGTAGGAACGGGAGTGGGGAGGTTCGCTCTAACACTGGATGTTAACAGCAACACGCCCAAGTATTGCATTGGATGGGCCTTCTGCAAAAACCTATTTTTAGAAACCACAAATTTATGTGCCTTTAATCCACTAGTTGATCCAAGTTAGCTTCTGTCATCAGCGTTACACAGATGGCAGCTACCATATGTTACTTTCCATTTCCATTGCGCATCAGCTTAAAATGAAGACAATCTCTCCAGTGCGAAGCGCAGAAGGCAGTGCGTGCAGCCCTGTGGCTTTCAGTGGAGACAAAATGAAGATCCGGGCTGTTTAGATACTTGGCTACACAGGGAGCCCCTCGATTGCTTTGTTAATTAAGCAAGGATGCCCAAGCATCAGTAGAAACTCCACGGCGTCCCTCCCTCTGTGTGCCCATAGATGAGCAGACCCAGCCACCCTCACATCCAGCTACCCAGGGAGGAACAAAATGGAAAGTGAAACAGGTTCAGCCACCTGGAAACTACACCCATCTCTGCATTATTTATCTTTGTGCTACAGCTATTAGGAAAAAAAAAAGAGAAGAAGGGAAAAAAGGTCATTCCCATGCTTTCACTGGGGAGAAATGACATGGAAATGACATCACTGACATCACTATCCAAAGTATACGTTTGTGTCTGGAGTTCCAAGGCCATTTCCTAATGAAGCACATGTGCTTTACTAGGTTTATTTTGAAACTCTATTTGCTTATTTTCCAGCCATGATCAAAAGGACATTCAGAGTGTTCTGTAGGACGCACTTGAACCCTGTAGACCAGGAGAGTTTTTTCCTAGCCCCAGCAGCAGCCAGCAATAATATCATTTGTACAATAAACCCGACTGCACGAAATGCTCTGCTGTTTCCTACCAGTAAATAGATGCTGTTTTGGGAATCATGGCCCACGGGTGGCAGGACAGGACCTTCTCCCCCAAATTATGCAAAGCTTCATTTACTGTGTATGACTCTTCACCAGTAGTGCTCTTTCCCCAGCCTCCAAACCCCTGAGCCTCTTGCAGATGCTGTTGCTTAGTAGCTGTTGCCATAACACTGGCTCTTCTAATACCTCGGATAAAAATGTTACAAAACATGCAAATCCATTCTGAGAAGCCGAGAAAAAGAATCCTACCTTAATATTAAAATTGTCATCAAGAAGGATGTTTTCCAGTTTTAGGTCCCTGTGAACAACACCGTTCTGAAACAAGGAAGAAAAAAACAGGGGGAAGAACATGAGAAAATATTGGGAAAATTAAAGGTGAGCTGGCAGGGTGGTCTTTGCATCTACATTTCAGGGCTGATTTCACTGTCATAACACTCCCGGCCCAGTGACTAGTGACAGGCAATGTATTAGTCACTTGGTGTGTGGTTAAGGGAAGAATGACTGGAATCTGTCCTCCCACAAAGCCTTTAAAACAGCAGGGGTGGAGGGGTGGGGGGCTGGGGGGTGTCTTTTTGGAACTTAATTCCAGCCCGGATCCTACCCCCACTGCGTGAAAGCAATATATTCTTCCCAGGCACCAGAAAACAATATCTGTCAATGACGTTAGTCCTTACAAAAGCCCTCGTTCCTCCAATGTGCAGCTACGTGGATCAGGGGAGTTATAATCCTAAAGGACTGTAAATGTTAGGGATGGAAGCGAACAAGCTGGGTTTAGGTCAGAGCCTTCTTTAAAGAAATTGGGGAAAAATTAACTGCACAGGGAAGGACTTTTCAGCACTGCACAGTGAGGACTTTGAAAACTGCCCTTGTTTATCAGAATTCAAGTGGAGATGAAAGCATTTAAGAATTCAAATAAAAAATGGTCTTAGCTGCTCATCGCCTTTAGCCTCATGCAAGTTTTGGCTCTATGCAGTTGGTTCATAAGCAGGGATAAAAGGTCCATGATGACAGCCAGTCAGCTACCTTGGGTTTAATTGCTTAAATTGTCATTCTAGTGGGTACCATGATGGATGAAGTCATTAGCAAAGGGTATCTTTCTAGTACTCCTGCTCCATCTGGAAAAGTTACTTTTGCCTCTCCAGAATGAGTACATACTAAAGCTCATACTTGAACAGTCGTACCTTTCTCTTGGCTTTTTTCTTTTGTATATTTCATCTCCTATTCTAAAGTTGTTCACTTGTATATTCAAATTGCAAACTATAATTTGTTTGAATGTATTAACATTAATGTTGTAGCAGTTCTATGGGATGCCTTTTCTAGTTTATGTTGTTAATTATTTTTTTTTAATGTCAGGAGAATTATTTCCAAGGCAAAAACGCAATGTAGGGCTAATGTAAGGGAGTGGCTGGTATCTGCCATAACACAGGAAAACATCCTTAGTCTTTAAAAACAGGCAGTGAACTACTGTAGCACTTTTAATGAAGATCTCCTGATGTACGAATATAATCACGTGCTGTCATACTTAATAATGAATACTGTTGCCTCAGACTCGCTTTGAAATATATAAGTCACTACTCAGCCTTCAAATAGCATTTTTTAATATCAAATCCTTTGCTCACCTTGTGGCAGTAATGTACAGCAGAGACTATTTGTCGGAAGAAGTGTCTTGTCTCTCTTTCACTCAATCGCCGCCTCTCACTAATGTAATCATACAACTCTCCTTTACTTGCATACTCCATGATGATCACAATCTTATCTTTATTTTCAAACACTGCACAGGATAAAAGAAAAAAAAAAAAACCACAACAGTTGAGTCAATACATTTGAAAACTGACACTTTAAAGGGTGAAGAAGACTTGGGATGACTGAACACATCCTATGTCATCACTGCAGCCTGAAGAGATGTACTACCAACCCCACTGCAAAAAGCAAGCTCCAAAGCTAAATTTTTCCAGAGGATGATTACAACATTTCAGACCAAGGGAAGGAAGTTGAGGCTATCTTCACTTTCATACAGCTACATGAAAGAAGGTCTTTGCCTCTATAATATGGGGTCACAGGGTGGCAAAGTCAACTTGATGCTAATGAGGTGAGGTCTACACTTGTGCCGGCGACATCTGAATACTAACCCTGGCTCCAACAGGGACTGCCTGTTGCCGGTAGTGCTTTTGAGGCCAGAGAACAGAAGGAAACAGGAGCTATGACATCATTTGGAAAGGGTCAATAGAAGGCATAATAACCCTTGTCTTCAATGACTGGCTGATACAGAATTGCCATTTGGCTTATAATGACTGTTGGTTGGCTTTCACCCACCATCAAAATCCAACAAGTCAATTGATGCATGCATCCTCTTCCAGCCCAACTCTGTGCAACAGCATGGTGGGCACAGACACCTGAGCTAGCAGTGGCTGCAATGCCTCCGGAGCTGTACAGCTCTTGTCAGTATGGCTCTGCACCCTGTCCCATGCCTCCACCCCATCCTTGACCTTACTTATCTCCTGCCTCTGCGACATGTCCCATTGCATGCTGTAGATATGTCCTTTTCCGCTTGCACAGAGCCGGCAGCAATGCACAACTCCCACGTAAGCAGTGCAAGGAACATTCACCTAATGCACGTCACAACTTGACTGTTCTTTGGGGCTGAGGGTCCTCTGTGCCACATGCTGTCAAGGACTTCACTGGGAGCTGCAGATAACTAAACGCTTAATCTAGTAAAGCAGGCTGTGAGTAGTCTTGAATTGCCATAATGCACTGGCTGCAACCCGCTGGAAACTGACTGCACCTGCCATAAATAACCATTGCTCAGATTAAAACATGGTGATTTTCCTTCTCTTATTATCTGTGGCAGCAGTCTGCTGAGGCCAGGTCACACTGGCAGCAAAGCCAGCAAATTAATGAGGTTATAGGGGTTATTACAAACGGATGCTAGTTTTGACCAGCCCTACTGGAATGATGCCTTCCTGTATCTCTTCAGCAAAGCTCAGCCAGTAGTCCTTAGTGTTTTTAAAAAAAACCCGAACAGCTAACAGCTTCAGCTTTTGCAGTGAAATGCAAAGCTGCCTCTCTCAAGATGCAGGTATTTGCTGCTCTCAGGCTTTGTCTCATGTCCTCTCACACCTTGTCACTCAACTCTACAAGCCAAAGCCTCCACAGTTCCCCCTAACACCCCTGAACTCCAGCCAAACAGCTCTGATAAAAGAGAGAGCAAACAGCCAGATAAAATTGGCTGCTTCCTTGTCTGCTGGCCTCACTGTACCCTGAAGCAGAGGCTCCTGCCAGTGATTACATCCTATGTGCATCCTCATTAGCAATAAACTTCAGAAACTGGAAGAGCCGTCTCTGGATGGATTATACTTACAGTATCCTCTCCAAGAATGACAGACTGATATTGTCTGGGAAAAACTGAACATGCCCTGTGTCATATAGGGAAGTGCTGTGATGTGTTACCAATAAAGCAGTAATGCGCACACGTGTTTCTCTAAGCTTGGAAAGAGTTGTTAGACACAGGGTTGTTTAGGAAGGCAAAAAGAAATAGTTTCAGGAAGCTGAGACAAACCATTAAAATGCTCTTATTCAAGAGATTTGATTTAGAAAAAAAACCCAAACCAACAATTCCCTGCCCTCCCCCCAAAAAAACAGCTGATTCAATGAGTTAGGGGTTATTATATCATGCACATATAGGTGAAGTCGCCACATGGCACCACTGATCGCAGTGGACTCTCACAGGAGCGCACACTCCAAGCCGTACCAGCCGAGGACCACCCTGAGCTCGGGGGGATGTTTGCCTCCCCAGAGGGGCACAGACGGGGGTGAAGGGGCCCTCGGCTCCTCCCGCCCCGCACAGCCGACCGCTGATGCCCCACCAAGTGTTCAGTGCTGATGATGACAATAACAGCAATAACAGCCCTGCTACGATGGAGCACTCTTCCAGATGATGTTTTTATTAAAGTTTTGCCTTCACCACTCAGTCATGAGAGCTTTCTCAAATCATCCTTGATGTTCTGAAGTTTTAAATTCCAAAATCTAATTTTTCTGGACTAAAATTTGCCATATTAATACAAGTCCTGATCCAGACATATTTTCCTGCATTTCTACAGAAATGAAGTGGAAAGCACTTGGCTTGGAGGAACATACATTTAAAGGTACTTTGCATTTCAAATTTTCTCTTTATGCCCTCTAGGAAACTGAGACAATACCTTAAAATTGAATTTAGGAAAGCATAAATCACTGTTCCAAATTTTGAATTTTTGCCACAAAACCACACTAGTATCAATGAGAACAGAAGCACCCCAGTAACTTGTATTCAGGTTTCAGTTTACCAGCACACTCAGGTCAAATTGGAACATCTTTTTCTTCACAAGGGAGCATTATGAGAAGGGCACTGCTCTTGGACTTAGATGACATTACAGAGGCCTCCTCAGCATCATCATAGCTGAACGATTACAGACTTGAACAGCAATTTATCTCTTCACCAAGGAGCAGAGGTGAATGGAGAATATTTTTTTTCCAGGAAAGTGGGAGGTATTTTTTTACAACTGTGTAATTTCAGTTTATATCAGCTGAATCTCATGAGAGGGTGTGCAACTACTTTCCTGCCGAGAGGGAACTGAACAGCAGACAAAAACGTCTTAAATGGGAGCTGCCACTGAAGGAGTAGGGAGTGGAAAGGCAGTAGGATTTATGTCTATACACACGCACAATCTTAAAGAGGAATTTAGTGGTCAAAACAATCAGGCATGTGACAAGGTGGTATTCTGGCAAGTGTCAGACTATCAGCCATGTACACCCCGAATTTTCACAGCAGCAGTTAGGATGCCAGGCAGGCTTCACACAGACACTTCTGAATTTCCCTTCTGAGCACAGTATGTAGTTTTATAAACATATGCTCCAAGAAAGCATTGTGGCCAATGGCTGGGGGAAGAAAGAAGGGCATTAATTAAAGGTTGGATTGACTTACTGCAAATAATAACGAGGTAATAAATATACTGCCCTGTTAACACCTGGGCCGTAACCTGCGGGCTGATGATGGACGGATTGCCTCCATATAGCTTCTGGGACTGCTTGGTTCACCCTTTGTTTTCGTTGCGGATGATTTATTACCTGCCATCCTACTGCATATTCATTCCGAAACTCACCCCCGCCTAGAAGTGTGCCTGAACCCTGGTTGTAGCTACTGCCGACGGAGAAGCACGGCTTCGGCAGGATACTGCGCCCCAGGAACGCCCCGCGGCTTGCTACTGCTGGGACTGCCCTGTCGTACAAGCCTGTTCCTGCACCTGGATCAAGGTCAAGGGAAGGAGGGAGGTTATGTATAGGAAAGGTGGGGCTGCTCTTGCTTCTTTCAAACCATCAATACTCTGCAAACAGCTGGCCAAATAAGATAAGTGGAGAACTGTCAGTATCAACACCCAGACATGGTAGCAGGAGAGATGGCCTGTCAATCACAAATCAAGAGATGGGGGTTGCTTAGATACAAGGCATGAGCTCCACATATTAGAGGAGACAGCAGCAAGAGAATTGCTTGCTACAAGCTGCGTGTCATTTATTTCTGAGCCACTGTGTTTATTTCCACCACTCTGCAAGCTGAGTTACACTGAGAGAGCGGCAGCAAGACCTCGGTGTGGTGGGAGGGTTGCTGCACTATCTCAGCCATAGCGGTCAAGCAGTGCAGGGTAGTGATTGCAAAATGATAGCACTCCTTTGCAGAGAGAGCCTGCAGGATGAAGGATTGACTTCTGAGACGGCTACCCTTCCACCTGGCCACAGGGAAAAAGGGAGGGACAGCACTGTGAGAGCACATCAGGAATGGGATGTACCACAAGGTGCGAGGAACAATGTGGTTGTATTCCCAGGAGATGAGCACGAATACTGTGTTAATGTACTAAGACATGGGTTGCCGTAACGTGGAGAAAGAGCATTTTTCAGTGGGCTACAAGCTTGCTTGGGCTTGGCCTGTTCACCCCAAGAGCCTTAGCAGAGACTAAGAGCAGCACTCTATCCAAGCAGCAATGGGTGCTTAAGATGCAGCGGTCAAAGAAAGATTTCTTACAGCTTTTTTTTTAACTGCCCCCCCCCAACTGTAACATGTTTGTTTGTTTATTTTTTTTAAAAAATGACAGAAGGAAAGTTCTCTACTTCTAGGCTGATAATTGAAACCAAATCTGCTGGCTTCAGAGCTCATTGAAGAATATAAATGTGAAACTGGGGAAGAACTTCACTTCTTACTACCAAAAACATATCTGAGACAAAGTACATTTTGTAACATCAACAATCTGTCTCTTTCACAGACTGTTCTACTATAGCAATAATTCTTGGATATAATCTCTCCACTTATTTATATTTAGAGGCCGTGAAATGATGAACTCGGCTTCTGTCTACAGCTTTCCATTTTCCAAATAGCACTGGTTGCGCAGGGACCTCTTGCTGATCAATACTCTTCTTTTCTTTTCAAACCTACTGCTAAATTCTTCCCTTCAGCTACACTGAAGTCACCTCCACTGAAACTCCATGGGACAAGTTTGACACTGGATGAACATGGTCGCTACCCCTCTTAAACGCTAAGATTGAAAGATTCACCCTAAAAGTGTTGAAAGCATGACTTGCATGTTTGCAAACACGAGTCAGAAAGATTTAATAGTACGTTGTACACCTCTCTATTAGGACAGTTTGCTTTGGACTTATTTACTACTAAATTCAAAAAGCAAAACAAAGCAGAAGGCTTTTGCCCTTCCTCCAAGCTTACAGGATGCTGAAGTCAGAGCGAGTGCCGAG